AAAGGCCAGTATTCATAGTCGGATCTTGTTTCAAGATCGTCTTAAGTCATATCTAAAGGCCATTGCACGTAACAAAGATTTAGTTTTAATCATAAGGCCGTAAAAAAATAGACCAATCACACTCGATTATTCTTCAAACGCGAGAAGAATAATCGACTGTAATTGGTTCGTTTTCTTACGGCCTTAAGATTACAACTACAACATTGTTACTTGCAATGGCCTTTAAAATGCTAATACGGCTCTGTGATTGGTTCATAACATCTTAAGATCGTACTTAAGACGATCTTAAATATAAGATATCTGACTATATGAATACCGGCCTAAGTAATGTTTTAGGGCTCAGACACAATGAAAAAACAAAGGAATAAGATAAAGGATAAAGAAATAAGGAATAAGGCATGTTATATTTCACTTTAATGTACGTGTACTGAAGTGAGATGCGACATTCCCTTATTCCTTATTCCTTTATCTTATTCCTTATTTTTGTCATTGTGTCTGAGCGATGTTAATACTGCTGATTGGTTCACGACATACTAAGATTGTACTTTAGACGGTCTTAAACATAAGATCCGACTAATGAATATTGGTCTATTGGGAAAGAAAACATCCACCGCGGGAAAAAGAGAACTAGCGTAGCATAACAAACATGGCCGTCACATCGACATGCTGTATTAACATTATAGCTTTATATGGATAATAATGTGAAAAAAATATTCTGTTAATTTTACATGAGAAATGTTGACACTTTGTTTAGACACTTTGTGTGAATATATCTATGCATCACTATGTCTGTTTGTGTAGCTTGCACTTTTTGCACTTAGAATCTTTGCTTTTTCTTTCTCCAACGCCTAATATATATTTTTCTAGTTTGAAATGCAGGAATTTTTTGGATTTTCAAGCAACACAAACAAATCTACTATCGTCAAAAAACATGATCATTTCACAAAGTGTCCAAACCTTATGTCAACATTTCTCATGTAACATGAACAAAATAATAATTTTTTACATCATTAAGTTAAAGTTACTAGATTTATAAAGTACCGCAATCCACATTTACTACGTTTACGCAAGCGTTACTTCTGTAGTAACTTACGATATATCACTCGTTTACGCGGAGTAAATTATCGTAAGTTACTACAAAATCCCGTTGACGCGAAGGAAAATCCCGTTTACGCGAAAAAATTATCGTAAATTACTACAGAAGTAACGCTCGCGTAAACGTAGTAATTGTCTCCCAATGCTTTAGCATTTAAAGCTAAAATGGCGTCAAAAAGTGTACCAAAGTGCACATTTATCATGTTACATAGTGTAACTTAGCTACACGTTAAGTGTCATTTTCAAACCTGATTCATGTGTGCGAAAACCGCGAAAACCCTTATATGTATACGCTGTTTGTTTGTGTGATGAAGCCAAAATGGCAGATGATTGCGGTACTTTATAAATCTAGTGACTTTACGCAAAGTTCTGCGCGAGCGCTTCTGGTGGCAAAATCTGAACTAGCGTAGATACATTGGGTGCGTTCAGCAGACACAATTGTTGCACAACTGTTGAATTCATCTTATCAACACACTGCGTTGATTGGTTGGTTCCAAAAGTAAGAGTCAATCACATTTGACTACTACTGAGCGGCTTGGTCTGCTGAACACGACTTCTATCCCCACCAAGCGATCAGAAGAAAAAGAAAAAACTACAATTGAGGCTATGGCTGAGTTTTCACTGAACGCGTCACGCGTCGCGTCATCACAAGTTAATCAATCAACACATCCCATTTTATTACATTACTTATGACGGGATCAAAATGGGATGTGTTGATTGGTTAACTCGTGATGATGCGTGACGCATGATACGCTCAGTGGAAACTCAGCCTGTCTGCATATCTATATAAAGCGGGTAGCACAGACTTTTGCACAACGCATAATGCGTAAACACAAGAAAATTGATTGGTTTATATATACATACATGTGCGTAAAGAAATAGACCAATCAATTTTCTTATGCTTATGCATTATGCGTTATGTAAAAGTCTGTGTTCCCTTCTTTAAGGCCGTCGCACACAAAATTGCATAGGCTGCATAAGCATAGCATAA